ATCTATCTATCTATCTATCTATCTATCTATCTATCTATCTATCTATCATCTATCTATCTATCTATCTATCTATCTATCTATCTATCTATCTATCCATCCATCCATCCATCCATCACTCCTATGCTTCCTCCTCCTCCCCCCTCCTCCTCCCCCCCCTCCTCCTCCCCCTCCCCCCCCTCGTCCTCCTCCTTCTTTCCATCCATTTATATCTATCAATCTATCTCATCTATCCATTCATCCATATGCACACACACAAACACACACAAATAAAATGTATATGCAAACACATACACATGGATATATACATATGTGTACATTTCTCATTTGGACTTACAATGTTTTCAAACAGTACATTATATTTAAACATAGTTATAAGTATTTAATGGTACCGTGCACCAGTAGGAAATCAGACATGAGTTTCTTATTTAAGTGTGTTACAAAAAAGTATCAGAAGAATCAAAAGGACTTAATATGAGGCTTCCTTAATTAACTGGTTATTTGGACTTGAGAAAAATGTGCTCTTCAAAGCTGACACATCAAACATAAATTAAAAACTTGAAAAACATTATTTTTCTAACAATTGTTTTCTTTCCAGAGTTTTAGGAACTCTTTCCAAAACATGAAGGATATTGGTTTTTTGCAAGTCAAACTTTTAAAAGCGGTTGATCTGTTAGCTGCAGATTTTTCAGGTATATATTGTTTTATTTCTCTTTCACTCTCTTCAGCATGGCTTAAATCTCCCATAAATGCAATTCTATAAAGGAGGGTCTGAAACAAAGAGGAGAATCTCTCAAGAAGCTAGAATATCAGCAAGCTTCTTTTCATTGAAAAAAAAAAATCTTGAACGTAATATTTTTTGGGTTTGTTTCTGTAGGCAAAAGCGATCCCTTCTGCGTCTTGGAATTAGGGAACAGCAGACTTCAGAGTTACACTGTTTACAAAAACCTCAACCCAGAATGGAATCAGGTCTTTACTTTGTAAGTAGATTTGCAACTGAAATTCTGGATTTGAGGGATAACTGGCATATTTCTTAGATTTGCCAAGAGAGAGGTAACCTACCTAGTAGGAACCAGTCTTGGAAAAGGTCCTGGAGGGACATGTAGGTACTTTCAAAATATAAGAGATTTTATTATTGAGTTTAAGGCATACCTTCTCTAGAGCATCTGTACTTTAAATCCAGAAGCAGTGTGTTAAATTTTATTTTGAAAAGAATTATGACATTTACCCACAGTCTAGAATTTGAGGGGTCCTTGGTGCTCTCTGAGCTTGGTTGTTTTCTTGCAGATGTTTCATTAGCCAAACCAGGTAACGTCAGTCAACTCAAACTGATGATGTTACCTAGTTGGATCGTAAAACATCTGAAAGAAAACCACCGAGCTCAAAGAGCAACAAGCACCCCTCATTTCAACCCTCAGTTAAAAATATTCTGCTTTATCAGTCTAGAATTTATATGTTTATCATCTTAATAGTTTTTCTCTTAATTAGTCTTAAACTAAATGGGTTAATTACCTCAAGATGCTTCTTTGCACACTCAGCTTTGAATCCAGATAACATAAATACGAACAATTAGCAAGGTAGTCAGGGAAACCTTTAGCAGAGGAGATGGTAGAATAATCTAGACAGGTAGTACATTCTCAGTGACCTGTTGGCTGCTAGGAACATGGTCCACTGAGAAGAGGCAGAACTTGATGGCTAAATGGCAGTTCTTCCAACTCATTGATTCCATCATGACCGATGGCAAGTTCATGCTCGTATCCCTGCTGGAAGAAACGTTGGAAAAAAGAATGCTATAGTATACTTCAAGTTACAAGGAAAAAAATTGAAGTATTTAGTTGAGTACTAGGCGGCCCTCTTGAAAGAAGACTCAAAGGAGAAGGTTTGCAAGAAACAGCATAAACCCAAAGAGTAGAGAGGCTGTAAGCAGTGGTGGAGTTCATGGGATATTAGGAACCTGGGAATAGTGCAGATCATGTCAAATAAAATGAACTTGACTTCATTTAGAGCAGGGGTCTCCAAACCCCTGAGCCATGGTTCATTACTGGGGCATGGTCTAGTTGTAACTGGGCCCCTTGAGTGGTGGGTACCCATGCATGCAGCTCAACTTGCACAAGCTGCACCCACATGCATGTGACTACCAGCCCTCTGCTCGCACAACTTGAGCTGTGTGTGTGTCGGCCTGCTGCTCACACGGTTTGGTTTCCCCTCTTCCCCCCACGCTGGGCCTCCAAGCCACCAAGCTTGGGGACTGCTGATTGAAAGCACTAAAACCAATGTTGGGTAGATGACAGCAGGGTTTATGGTCACGTTGCTTTCTTAAACATACCTTCCACCTATGTTGGGACTATGATTTCCTGAGTTCCCCCACAGTGGGGTGGGGGTGTGTGTGGATTATGGGAGCGATAGTCCCGAGTTATCTTGAAAGGCCACCAGTTTGAAAGGCTTGCTGGAGGGTAAGATTTAACAGCGAGCAGGGAAGTGAGTTGTTAGACCATCTCCCAAGTCGCCTTCATCCCCACGATTTGCAGTAAAACTAATGTGATTGGATCCACGTTCAACTTGTATGTTGAGGGATTGCATCTGCTCTAAACCCACGTTTTAACACCTCAAAGCCATCGCGACTGAATTACCGAATGCTTAGCTCTTTCTTTCTATGGCTAATTCTGCCCATCTCTTTCCAGCCCTATTAAAGACATTCACGACATTCTCGAAGTCATGGTGTTTGATGAAGATGGAGATAAGCCGCCTGACTTTCTTGGAAAAGTTGCCATCCCTTTGCTGTCTGTAAGTTATTTTTTTCCTCTCTGCTTTGGCTCCATACATCAGCTCAGCCTTAATGGCCTCCGTGGGACGGGGCTGCTGCCTTCTCCTCCTGCAACGATGTGTGCAGAAAGAAAAATAGCCCTGTCTGGATGTTGGCATTGCAATAATCCTTTACCTTGTAGGCACGATTCTCTTTCAATCATTCTGCACATTCTGCAATCATGTTCTTTCTCTGTGTGTACAAGGAAGGCAGGAATCCTGGCCGCAGCTTTCGATTCATCTATGAAGCATTTCCTTGAGAACATATTTCTCTATCTTGTTTGTTTACTCTCTTGCCTACTTCACTGTTGGGTGTGTGCAGGGGTGTGCAAACAGGCACACTCTTTTCTCCAGGGTAAGCCTTAATTAGTAGAGCTTATTTTCTAGGAACTTTCAGTATTTGTTCGGATTCAAAGCAGATGTAGCATTTCGAGGGGACCAAAGGCAATTCGTATGCACTGTGTTCTGTGAGTCAAAACTGGGTCATTTGTGCTTCTTGATTAGGTTTTGGAAGGGGTGTTTGCTTGGCTTTCTGTACTTGCAACTTAAGCTTAATTTCATATGGGAACCCTATTGTCCTTCTGGTAATTGCATAGTTTAATACAGCTGCAAAACTCTTCTGGAGCACTTTTCCCTGTGAAGAACACAGAATAACAGAGTTGGAAGGGACTTTGGAAGACAACCCCCTGCTTAGTCAGGGAACCCTATAGCATTCCAGACAAGTGGTTGTCCAGTCCCTTCTTTAAAACTTCCAGTGATGGAGCCCCTGCTACTTCTAAACGCAACTTGTTCCACTGCTTGACTGTTTTCACTGTTAGGAAATTTCTCCTTAGTTCTAGAATGACCTCCAAGTCCCTTCCATATTCTACATTCTACGTGTATTCTAAGAAGCCAAGAATTTCTCCTTGGTTCTAGATGACCTCCAAGGTCCCTCCCACTCTCTGTTATTCTATATTCTGTGTTCTAAGAATCTACTTGGATAAACAGCAAAACATTTCAAACCAACCAAAACTAATAAGTCCAGTTGCCCTGACTCAACTTCCAGACTCGGGACACCAAAGAACCTGTCTGAAGACACACGGATAAAACTGGGTCAGCATTTCTTCTTCCGTTTTCTAATTAATTAAGGCTACTTCTGAATTTATTTATTTTTTAAGTGAGGAAAACCCTTGTAGCATCTTTTGCCAGAGAGCTTTATTAAGCCCTCCTCTTTAGTTAAACCATAGCAGCAGCTGCCCAAGGTGGCCTGAAGGAAAGTTACAGTTCCTTTTCTCAACTTTCATAGCTTTTAACGTAGCTTTAAAACCTTCTCCGTTTTTAATTGCAGAGAGTTTGCTTTCAAAGGAATCTGAAAATGTGCGGCTTCATGGCAAAGCTCCTTTTGACTTTTGAGCCACTTTAAACTTATTATTCTTTCCACATCTATATTTTCAGCTGCCTGTTCCCCAGTTTTCCATTTCTTTTCCTTTAGACTGTCCTTTAAAACTGTTTTTCTAAGGCAGGCTGGGGAAATTTCTTTTGAAGAGCAACTTATACTTTTAAAATTAGGAGATATCCCACAGCACATTTTGAAGACTAGCAGGTAGATGTTGTTCATATCTCACTATTGTCAGAAACAGCTGCCTCCGAAGATACATTTATATGTACTTTATATGTCTGAAAGTTGCTGAGGTAGTTTTTTCCCCCTCAGCCATGAATACAGGACCCTTCAGACTCTGTTCTTCAAGGCAGGCCAATCCTTTCCCAAAATATCTTGGTTTAATCTCTTCTTTAAAAAAAAAAAAGCATATATAGATATAATTCTCTTTTTGATCCTATTCTTTCATATTTCAAGCTCTCTAATGTTTGCTTGGGATTGTTTTTTTTTTTTTGGAATGGTTATCAAAGCTCGCGTCGTGCGCCGAACCGTTTGATGTTTACAGGGAAGGAACAACTCCTTAACATCTTTTATTCAATTTTTGATGACTCTGTTAATTTCTCCCCAAATCCTCATATCCCTGATGCTGCTGGACGGGAACAGCATGAGCAGCTGGTCTCCTGGAGAGCTAGTGTTTGCCAAATGGCTTGTGTGAGAGGCAGCCGGCTGTGTGAGTTTGACAGGGGTATGTTAGATCTCAATTCCCTCCCCTTTCCTCTTGATTTTATAGACATTTGTCAAGAGCCCCTCACAATTTCCCGAATGGGGCTCTGAGAGGGAGGGAGATGGTCCATGGGCTGGATACGGAGAAAGTGAAGGAGAATGTTCATTTTGACTCTTTCTCTCTCTCTCTCTCTCTCTCTCTCTCGTGTAGCTGATATGTTAAAAACAAATAATATCACGGCACATTTCTGGTTTAGTTGAAAGTCTTGGTTTAACAGAATAAGAGAATAACAGAGTTGGAAGGGACCTTGGACCCTACGTCATTCTTGTCCAGTCTCTCCTTAAAAGTTGATGGACCACCCAAAACTTCTGAAGACAAGACATTCCACTGGTCAATTGTTCTTACTGTCAGGAAATTTCTCCTTATTTCTAGGTTGGTTCTCTCCTTGATTAATTTCCACCCATTTCTTCTTGTCCTGCCTTCAGGTGCTTTGGAGAATAGCTTGGCTCCCTCTTCTTTGCGGCAGTCCCTCAAATATTGGAACATTTCTATCATTCAGCCTTTGTCCTTCTTTTCAACTAGACTAGACGAACCCAATTCCTGCTACTGTTCTTCATATGTTTTAGCCTCCAGACCCCTAATCATCTCTGTTGCTCTTTTCTGCACTCTTTCCAGAATCTCTACATCTTTCTTTTACAATATGGTGACCCAAGCTGGATGCAGTATTCTAACTGTGGTCTTGTTAAGGCTTTATAAAATGCTACTAACAATTCAAGTGATATTGATTCTGTCCTCCTTCTAAAGCCCCAAAGAGCCTGAGACTAGATTATCTCAAGGAATACCTTCTGCCCGATGAACTTCTCCAGGAAACTTAGAGGTATCTAGAGAAGGAGGGCCTGACTGCAAAATTTTGGATGACATTTATTTAATTACAGTCAGTCCTTACAACTTACGACCATTCGTTTTGCAATTGTTCAAAGTTAGGAAGGGACTGAAAAAAGAGACACACAACCTGTCCTCACACTTGCAACCATTGTAGTATTCTCCCCCCCCCCCCACGTCATGTAATCAAAATTTGGTTGCTAGGCAATTGGCAAGCTGGATTTTCTTCATGATTGTATGATTTGCAGGATGACTGCACCAAAAAAAAGTTTGTAAAATTGGTGTGTCTCGCTTAAGAATCATATTGCTTATCAACTGAAATTCTGATACGAATTGGGGTCGTGAGACGAGGAGTATCTGCATTATTTTGCTTCTTTAATAGATGCTTTTCTGATCTAGGGAGTACTCCCAAGTGGCTAACATGATTTTAAAACCAAAAACACAGAATTAAAACACAGTAAGTGGAAAAGTAAAATTAGCAATAAACTTTTTTGTTCTAGCACAAAGCTAAAATATTCCTCTCCTTCTTAGGCAATTTACTAGTTGAATTGAACTTAATGTTTAGTTCCTGTCCTACACTCAAATATTGGAGGAGGACATTCACACTAGTGTATAAATTGTAAAAGATCAGAGTTGTTCTATTTTTGTTTTTACATTGGAATAGTAGACTTGGACTATTTATTGCTTTTCCTTGGTTTCATTGTTTGAATCTTTGAATCTTTTTTTTTTTTTCAAATGTTTCCAAAACCTTTTAATCATTCTAGTCACTTTGTAATCTGCTTTGAGAAATCTGGATAGTGGATGGGTTTGAAATAAAATAAGTAAATAAATTAATATTTCAAGGCCGGCCAGCTGGTTGCCTGAGACTAGATCCAATTCTCATCTTCCTTTATTTGTGCTTTGGTGGGTCCTAGCAAATGGAGCAAAGAATAGCAATGTGCAAAACTCAACCAATCTGAGAGCAGAACGATCTGGAATTGGTGTGTTTTACACATCCCCGGTGAACAATGTGCTCAAATGGTTGTTGAAACAAGAGGAAGGAAAAAGGCCTTCCTTGTGTTACAGTGATGGAGAGAGAGCTACTGCATTCTGTTGATTTTTTTAGCATATTTGGTTAAAGGCGGTCCCAGCATATCTGGGTTTGTTGTACTATTGCATCTGGAGCTTGACTGAGGAAAAAGGTGGTTTGTGAAAAGAAAGGATTGAAGTTTCTGAATTTACTTTTGGACTACGGAGTGATGGTGATGATCTGCTTTGGTCCATATGTAACTAGATCAGGTTGGTTGGATGCAGTGTGGAAAATGATATAATCACATCATTATACAAGGGAGCTTCGTATCACTTATGAGCATGACAGGAAAGGAAGGAAGGAAGGAGGGAGGGAGGTGAAGGGAAGAAAGAGAGAAAGAGGAAAGAAAAAGAAAAAAGGAAGAAAAAAGGAAGGAAGGAAGAAAAGGGAGAAAAAGAGAAAGGAAAGAAAGAGAAAAAGAAAGGGAGGGAGGAAGGAAGGAAGGGAAAAAGAAAAAGAAGAAAAAGAGAGGAAAAGAAAGAAAGAAAAAGAAAGAGGAAGGGTGGAAGGAAGGAAGGATGGAATGGATGGATGGAAGGATGGAATGAAGGAAATGAAGGAAGGAAACTCTACCTGACTCCGTGGTTTCCTCCCCCAAACCCCAAAAACTTTAACCTTAGACTGTCTAATATTGACCTCACCCCTTTCCTAAGAGGTCAGTAGGGGGTGTGCATAAGCGCACCAACGTTCCTACCGTCCCTGTCCTATTGTTTCTTTTATTTTTCTTATATGTATCCATTTCATGTATTCATAACTATGTTTATACTTATACCTGTAATCTTATAATTGCTTGACAAAAGAAAGAAAGAAAGAAAGAAAGAAAGAAAGAAAGAAAGAAAGAAAGAAAG